CAATCCTCTTCCTTTCCAATTCTGATGTCCCTTTCCTTCCAAGAGGTGAATCACTGGGCTGAGGACTGTCAGAGAAAGCCGATAAAATCGTAGAATTCAAGTTACTTCTACTTTTGAGCAAATTGGCATTGTCCTTTGATTTTGTTCCCATCAGAGGTCGGAACCTATCAGGGGATATAAAAACTTCCTCTTCTCTCACAGTATTTTCCACCTTTTTCTCGTGGGGTTCTTTCAACCAGGGACTCTGAGACACACTTCTTCTTGGCTTCTTCTTAGCAGGAGAGTCAGTGATTGCTGGAGATATGAGGATGGGGGCTAAGGGAGACCTCGCCTGACCATCGGTTGATCTGTTCAGTCTGAACATATCTGATGATCTCTTGGCTGAAGCTATTATTTGTGAAAGAGGAACATTTTCTTTATTTTCTTCATCCTCCGAATCGATTATAGATTCCTCCTTTTTGTCGCTCTCTGATTCATTTGACAGAGCATCACCTGTCTGCTCCATATCCTCCTCTTCTTCTACATCACCCTCTTCATCTCGGTTTTTCGGAGCCATACCTCCATTATCGGAAGTGTTATTTTCCCTATCATTTGAAATAGGCTCTAACATACTGTCTTTATCCAAAGAGTTCCTTTTGGGACTAGCCCTAATAGAAAGATTTCCCAAATGTTCGATGGTTTGCACCTCCTCCTCTGATTCTGCTGCCTCCATATGTTGTCCTGGACTAAACACCTCAGTCTTTATTGCAGTCTGTTCAGATTCCATTTTGATGTCAGTCTACAATATGAATTTATGAAACAAGATTTTTTCATCCAGAAAAATTCTTTGAGAACTGCATTTTTAAAAAAAAAAAAAAACTCTTTTTGCAGATACATGTAGACTTTTATTCAATATACAGGTATATAAACAAGAATTGACCATATACAATTAAATTTCAAGTCTCTAGAATTGATGCATGTACCGCAAAATGCCACGGATTTGTAAGAGTTTGGAATCTCAATAACTTTCTCTATAATTAACTTTCTCTATAATTACTTCAACCTTAATACCTAGTATCCCCATCTATCTATAAATTTATTCCTGACCTATCTAGTTTGAAATAACAAGGTTTGGTTGCACAAAGATACCAGAATGCAAATAGATGAAAACTACAGCAAGAAAAAACAAAACACTCTATAGACCAGTGTAACCAGCATTTTATATGCATTTTATACCTTGTTTAATTCTGGCTCTGTCTTTACTCTGACTCCTGGTGTGGTGGCAGTCAGATCCACCACCATATTGCTGCCCTTGACGGGGGTGGGCTCTGGGGTCACAAGGTCAATATGACTGGTCTCCAACACTTCAGTCTTCACTTCTCTAACTTCATTGTCTTCCTCTTCTTCGTCATCATCATCATTAACGTTCTCAGCATCCAAGTCTATCTCTGTAAAGAATCAAATTACATCAGGATATTTTTTTTTTATTGAATTAAACAACCCTTTGTTTCAACTTTTGTGAATTCATAATCATTATCTTTGTAATAGTGAAAATATATTGAAACCCCTAAGTTGGGTTTATGAAAAGATCAATTCTGCCAATTTTATCCTTGACCTTTTTGTCCTGACTGACCTTGTACATCCTTGACATCCTCCTCCTCCTGTGTGTTGACCGTCCCCTGGAGATTCCAGTCAGACCAGGGGCGAGAGAACGGTTTCTGGGACCCGGCATCCTCCGGCCCAGCTGGAACATTTCTCTGGTATTTCCCGGTTCTCTGTTCAAAATCCTGTGTTAAATCTGACTCCATCTGAAGCAACTCCTTTGCCTTTTGTACCTATCAAAACATTTTTTTAAATTTACAAAACAATATTTTTAATTTATATGGCTTTGTGTGTACATCATACACTAACATGAGCCAAATGAAATATATCACAGGGTTGTCCCTAAAATAGACAGAGAAGGGAACAATTAAAATAGAAAGAGGTCCTTATATTTTAAGATGTTATTATATACATGTACTTTTGCTATGTTGGCTGATACAGACCCTGTGTTGTATATAACATGTTATTATATACTTAAGCTATATTGTCTAATACAGACCCTGTGTTGTATGTATGTTGAGTTGCCTAATACAGACCCTGTGTTGTATGTAGTCATCTCCATGTTCCACCTCTGCTTCACCGTTGTCTTCAAAGTCGCATTTCTCCTGGGTAAACATCAAGTCATGATCACTGATACCAAATATCTCTGCAACACAAAAAAATATCCATAACATGGCTTATGTCACACACTCAATATTGATGTCTAAACTATGTGCAAAGTTTAGTAAGAGCAATAATTGGTGATACAAATATTTTGGTCACTGACCATGTGAGTAGAGAAATGTGCTATGAGATGAGAATGCAGTTAAAGTCCTTTTGGGAGAAAATTTTTAAAATAACTTTGCACTGACATAAATCTGATAAAACAACACTTTGCCAGAATTATTTTTATTTATTAAAAACTGAGGAAAGTAACATTGGCAGTGACAGAGAACAACACACGAAGTACTGACCGAGCAAGTAGAGAAATGCAATGTCAATACTGACCGAGCGAGTAGAGAAATGCGATGTGACCAATGACCGAGTGAGTAGAGAAATGTGATGTGAGTACTGACAGAGTGAGTAGAGAAATGCGATGTGAGTACTGACCGAGTGAGTAGAGAAATGCGATGTGAGCGTCGAGGGACGAGTCTGTATTTCTCTGGTGACTGTGCATCTCCTCGAGCTGCTGCTGAGTCTTCGAGATCCGTGGATTGTCAAGGGTAAACAACTCTCTCAGCTCCTGCTTTGTGAAGTACCTAAAACAAGAAAAACAGAAAATTTACTGTTCATTTACAGCGGTTTGAAATATATCATTACCATAATCATTAGAAACCTGCTTAGTTCCTAAATCAAATTATCTATAATACATGTATGTTCTGTTCAGATATCTGAAAAAACAAGATGTTTGTAAAACACTCATGCCCCCCTCCCTCAAATAGGAAGAATTTCTCTAAGTTTAAGGGACATAAATCTGACAAAAACGACTCGATTGTACCCAAAACATAATTTGACCTAGATATTCTTATGATAAATCTGTATTTCCAAATTTCAGTTCAGTATGTGGAACCATTGCGAAGGAAACGAACGGAAACTGCAAATAATTGGAATTTTTTCAAGTCCAAGGGGCATTACTCTGACAAAATGGTCTATCATACTCAAAACAAAACTTGACCTAGATATTCTTATGATAAATCTGTATACTAAATTTCATTTTAGTATGTGCAACCACTGCGAAGAAAATAAACTGAAACTTAGTGGACCGACAGACAGCAGCAAAGCATTATGCCCTCCCTTCTTCAAAGAGGAGCATAAAAACCACTTTTATTCTAACACAAAATGCATATTAGTAAAGCCTCAAAGTTGTATGTGCTGTGTTTGACAGAAGGAAGATGAAAATCTAAGCAACTATTCATGGTAAATGGCACTGAATGAACCAAAACTCCAAATAAATTGTTTACACAAAAACATGAACTTACAATATCTCAAGACTGTTGTGCTTTTTTGGGATATTTATAAATTGGTGAATCCTAAAATATCTGATCTATTTTTTTAAAGTCAAAGTTAATTCTAAATTATAATATATCTTACCTCAACTAAATTTCATTCATTAGTTGTATAAATAATAGCGTAACTCAGAAATTCTTTTGTGTTTTTGGCTGTTTGAATAATCCTGCAAACATACAGTCAAACAAATAAAACTACTAATCATGGTCCAAGACTTGTGGGCAAATTTAAAATCAAAAAGGTTCTGCCAAATTTATACCACATTAACTTTATTATTTATACGACTTAACTAGAATGTCTTTAACTTCAGTATATGTAGAATAATTTAATTCATATCTGAATATATGTAAACAGTTCTGGAAAAATCCTTCAATATAAATTAATATGCCCATTACATTATATGTAATTTCATCAATGTAGGTATCTACTGATGTGACAAAGTTTGCAACTTTAATATTTTCCGATCAAAAGGTGTAGCACAAAACAGTCAGGGATGGATGCTTGGGTTCTCAATAGTATCTAATACTAATCCTTCTTAAGCTTCTTACAATCTCTGCTTAATATCAAAGAGATTTAATGTTAGGTAAGTCTGAAACCAGAAAGAATGGCTAGCAAACACATTATCCAATTCAAACACAATTACAGCTAATATTATGAAATGGATTCTAGATTTAAAATTATTACTTCATTTAAATCTATGAGACTGAGTGGATATTGTTTATTTGCAGAAAAAATTTGAATCTTTCTCAATTATATTCTTACAGAAGAAAATTTGTTTTATTGATTATGCATGCAATTGTGGTTTTCATTTTAAATAATATTTAAGTTTCAAGAACTTAAAAAAAAATGTCTCTGAGTTGGACTCTTTTAATTAAAATTAACAAATGTTTGACACATTCTGAAAATTGCTAGAAGTTGTGTAAAAGTGTCAGAATGCCTGTAAAATAATAATCTACAGAAAACAACATCATCTTGCTGGGAAACAAGCCCTTATCTATCTATGTATCACAAAACACTTAGCTATCTCTCAGTGGGGTACAGCAAGGAGAAGAGACATGAGGGGTAGGATTTTATAGATAAATGAATACATAAAATCCTCTTTCTGAATTCATGGATAAAAACATTCAGCAGATATTTTGTATTAAGTGATTTACTAGTTTCTATTCTTCTTCTGGCAATACTCATATTATATTTTCTGTTATCATTTGGACAGAAAAATTGGCAAATCTAGTGGAAAGTTTCAAGTTTTTGTATGATAAATTTTCTTTTCTCAAGGTTCCTTTTAAGAGTTTGTATTTCATGATGATTTCTTTTTTTAAAAATATATCATTTCTTTTTCTAGCACTGAAAGAAACTAAACAATATATATATCTCATATATAAATATGGATTGTTTCCCCTGTGGGTGCCTTATCTAATTACATTACATGGTCTGTCTCTATTCAATTAGTATGGCTTGAGGGAAATTAGCCAGGCTACTCTGACTGGTCAAAACAAACTAGGATTATGGGAGCTCTGACACTTTTTCAGGTCTTTGTCTGGCCAGACCCAAGCTAACCATGGCAACAGCCTACCTGTCCAATTATCACACCATTGTCTGGCAAGTCAATACAAAGGGGGATAATTAAGTTGTTTTTGTGATCAGCCAGCTTTTTTAGGGTGCTTGGTGGATTTACTGATTTAGAAATGCACAAGAAAATAACTCAGAATTAAGAAGAGGACAAAGGAGCTCTAACAAGCTCAACAAAAACCATTTTGCTTGAACTTGTTTTGAGCAAATCCAGAGGTTGATATCTTTTATTCTGTTCCCAGGTTTATTTGTGTTTCAACCACTTTTGGAAAAGGACAAGTATTTAGTGTCAGAAAGAGGTAAAAGTTGTCAATTAATATTGGCTTATTTCTTCTTTAGTTTTGATAAAATTTGGCTAAATTTTAATTATTTGACTTCTATAATATTATTCATATTCTAAGTGCATACACTTATAAAAGAACTATATTTTCTTAGTCTAGCAAAGTTTTACATGTAAATATAAAAATCATATATATATTTGTAAAACCTATTTTTATTTGGTGTGCTACAAGGTGGATCCTTGTCTGTCTTTTTATTTTTCTTTAAAAAGATCTTTTATCTAAGTCCTCTTTTATTTTCATTGTTGTAATCAATATTTTTATGTATTTTCCAAAAACCTTTAAAATTCCTTTTGTTATGAAAATCCAATGAAAATTTCAGAAATTTCCAGAAACATTTTATTTTACAAAATTGCTAATATTTGTTTCCTTTTTCTAAATTGTTGAATTGATTATTTTTACATTTTTTTTCATGGCCTCATCCAATTTTATTGGAATTTGATACTAAAATCCCATTTGAAACTAAATTTCCAGACAATTGTTTACATCATAAATTTGCCAGTATTGTTTAGTAAACACATGTCACCCTAATCACCTTTTGGGGGATGATTGGTGGTGTCATGTAGATGTGCAGTAAGGTTTCGGAATTTTGATTTTGCCCCAGGGGGTCAAATAGGGGTCAAAAAATGACGTTTTTTATGCAAAAAGCCCCATCTTCCCTGAACTCCTCTTACATTTTACTCAGCAGCCTTATCATCTTTTGGGGGATGATTGGTGGTGTCATGTAGATGTGCAGTAAGGTTTCGGAATTTTGATTTTGCCCCGGGGGTCAAATGGGGGTCGAAAAATGATGTTTTTTATGCAAAAAGCCCCGTCTTCCCTGAACTCCTTCTACATTTTACACAGTAGCCTAATCATCTTTTGGGAGATGGTTGGTTGGGTCATGTAGATGTGCAGTAAGGTTTTGGAATTTTGATTTTGCCCTGGGGGGTCAAATGGGGGTCGAAAAATGACGTTTTTTATGCTAAAAGCCCCGTCTTCTCTGAACTTCTCTTACATTTTACTCAGCAGCCTTATCATTTTTTGGGGGATGATTGGTGTTGTCACGTAGATGTGCAGTAAGGTTTCGGAATTTTGATTTTGCCCCAGGGGGTCAAATGGAGGTAGAAAAATGATGTTTTTTTATGCAAAAAGCCCCGTCTTCCCTGAACTCCTTCTACATTTTACACAGTAGCCTAATCATCTTTTGGGAGATGGTTGGTGGTGTCATGTAGATATGCAGTAAGGTTTCGGAATTTAGATTTTGCCCCGGGGGGTCAAATGGGGGTTGAAAAATGACGTTTTTTGTGCAAAAAGTCCCGTCTTCCCTGAACTCCTTCTACATTTTACTCAGCAGCCTAATCACCTTTTGGGGGATGATTGGTGGTGTCATGTAGATGTGCAGTAAGGTTTCGGAATTTTGATTTTGCCCCAGGGGGTCAAATGGGGGTCGAAAAATGACGTTTTTTATGCAAAAAGCCCCATCTTCCCTGAACTCCTCTTACATTTTACTCAGCAGCCTTATCATCTTTTGGGGGATGATTGGTGTTGTCATGTAGATGTGCAGTAAGGTTTCGGAATTTTGATTTTGCCCCGGGGGGTCAAATGGGGGTCGAAAAATGATGTTTTTTATGCAAAAAGCCCCGTCTTCCCTGAACTCCTTCTACATTTTACACAGTAGCCTAATCATCTTTTGGGAGATGGTTGGTTGGGTCATGTAGATGTGCAGTAAGGTTTCTGAATTTAGATTTTGCCCCGGGGGGTCAAATTGGGGTGGAAAAATAACGTTTTTTATACAAAAAGCCCCGTTTTCCCTGAACTCCTCTTACATTTTACTCAGCAGCCTATTCATCTTTTGAGAGATGGTTGGTGGGGTCATGTAGATGTGCAGTAAGGTTTCGGAATTTTTATTTTGCCCTGGGGGGTCAAATGGGGGTCAAAAAATGACATTTTTTATGCAAAAAGCCCCGTCTTCCCTGAACTTCTCCTACATTTTACACAGTAGCCTAATCATCTGTTGGGAGATGGTTGGTGGTGTCAGGTAGATGTGCAGTAAGGTTTTGGAATTAAGATTTTGCCCTGGGGGGTCAAATATGGGTCGAAAAATGACGTTTTTTGTGAAAAAAGCCCTGTCTTCCCTGAAGTCTTCCTTAATGTTACTCAGAAGCCTAATCATCTTTTAGGAGAGTTAAATATTTTGAAAATTATGTAAAACATCAACGTCAAGGGGTAAAAAAAAGCATCACATGCTGGGAAACACCTTGAATTCTTATGAGTAATTAATGTATATGTCAAATGTGAGAGTCATATCTCATCTCAATCAAAAGTTATAAGCAAATGCAACATTTTTGAAAAGTAGAGGCTTG